GCAGAACAAGACATTATTGCTCTAAGTTGCTGCAGTGCTGAAGAAGAGATTCCAGAGATAATGGGGGATGCTTGCAGTGGTAAGAACAGTTGAACATCAGAATATGTGATGCTTTGAAATCTGTGTCATCTGCATCATGGACATCAGCAACAAGACACTTGTCAGAGATGCAGTAGGTGTGCTCATTCCTTCAGCAGAGTTGCTGAGGGATCAACAGCCCATCAGGTCACCAGGAGGTGCTGAAAGGTAATACATTCAGCCACACACAAAGGATCTGTTTTCCAGATTCTCTTGTAACTTGCATCAGTGCTCAAGCAGTGTTAGTCACCCAACTTCCTTTTCCAGATTTTATGCAGAATGAAATGCGATTAATGTTGTAGTTTGGTTGGGTGTTGGTGGAAGCTGCCACTTGCAGTGCAGCGTTAACAGTCTCTCCTCTTGCAGGGGTTGGCGTTGATGACATGTTCATCATGATTGCTTCCTGGGAACAAAGTTTAAGGAAAAAAGAGAAATCCAATGTTAAATCTCTGCTGGCTGAGACTTATTCAGAGGCAGCACTTTCTGTGACCATCACCACTCTGACGGATGTTTTGGCCTTCTTCATTGGCACCTGGACTGCTTTTCCGTCCGTGAGGTCTTTCTGCCTCTATACAGGGACAGCTTTTATCTTCTGCTATGTATATACCTTGACCTTCTTTGGGGCAGTTCTGGTATTAAATCACAAAAGAGAGCAAGGGAACCGGCACTGGCTGACTTGTATGCGTGTGAATGTAGGTAAAGATCAGGCTGAGAACTCCTGCTTGTACAATGCTTGCTGTATCGGCAGCCCTTCTAGGCAGCCATCTGAGCCAGAAGGTGACCATCCAATGAACGTATTCTTTAAGAAGTATTATGGCCCTTTTGTTACAAATAAATGGAGCAAGGTGCTCATGGTGTTGCTCTACGGAGCATATTTGGCCAGCAGCATTTATGGGTGTACTCAGGTCAGGGAAGGCATCGATCTCCGAAATCTGGCAAATGATGCCTCCTATGTTATTCCATACTATGATGATGATGACAAATACTTCTCCACATATGGACCCAGGGTCATGGTTGCCATTAGTGAGAGTGTAGATTATTGGAACGAGTCGGTGTGCCTTGGTATTGAGAGCTGTGTACAGAATTTAGAGAACATTTCCTATGTAGATAAGAACCTCACAGAGTCATGGCTGAGAGTATACACAGAACTTGACAAAAGGGGTTTGATAAATATAAGCAGTAAAACTGACTTCTTAAATAACTTAAATGTACTGTTCAGAGCTCGTCCCAGTTTTGAGTGGGACATAAACAAGACTCAGGATGAAATAGAGGCTTCACGTTTCTTCATCCAGACAGTGAATGTGACATCAGCCGTGGATGAGAAGAACCTCGTCAATGAGTTAAGAGAGGCAGCCAAGCAGTGCAGCATTCCACTGAAGGTGTATCATCCAGCCTTCATCTACTACGACCAGTACCTGGTAATAGTGCAGAACACTATTCAGAATGTTGTGGTTGCTGCCGGGGCCATGCTCGTTGTGTCCCTCGTGCTCATTCCCAACCCGTTGTGCTGCTTGTGGGTGACCTTTGCTATAGCCTCTGTTATAGTCGGCGTTGCTGGTTTCATGACGTTCTGGAACGTCAACCTCGATTCCATATCCATGATCAACCTGGTCATTTGCATTGGGTTTTCAGTAGATTTTTCTGCTCATATTTCCTATGCCTTTGTTACAAGTGGAGAGTCATCGGCCAATAAAAGGGCAATTGAAGCTCTGTCCCTGCTAGGTTACCCAGTTCTACAAGGTGCAGTTTCTACAATACTGGGCGTAGTTGTCCTGGCTGCAGCGAGCACCTACATCTTTAGGACATTCTTCAAGATCATGTTCCTTGTTATTTTGTTTGGGGCTCTTCATGGTCTTGTTTTTATTCCAGTGTTTTTAACATTTTTTGGAAACTTTGGCAGTTCACCTCACAATACCATGTCTATAAGTTTAGAGCATAGGTTTAGAAATGATAAGGATTGTCCATGAATTATTTAAATATAAGATTTTATATATTTACTATGTGGAGGCTCAAATGCAGTGACTGTCAGGAAATATAAGACATAAAAAGTAGAAGAATAAATACATGAGATCAACAAAGGCTTCAGAAAAGCCAGGTAAGAAAAATAGCAAGAAACTGCACAGAATGTATTTGCATTTTTTACCTTTGTGTATGTTCAACTACCACCTTAATATTGCTAATTATCTGTCACTATAGGACATGAAATAAAAAGATGCAGCCACGCAGCTCTCCAAGGTAAAGAAGAGCACTTTAATTTCTGACTCCAACATTTATAGATTTCCAAAAGTGACAGTGGAATGTAGGGTAACACTGCCACCTTTCCAATGACTCTGGACAAACCAATAGTCCATCAAATTTCTCCTCCATAAAAGAATGTAAAACAATAAGTTATTTATGTAAAGTGCATGAGTAAGTTCATTACAAGAATGTAAACATCAGAAGGCTTAGAAAAACTTGAAACAGGGCCACAGTTATCATTTTTGTGTGACTTTTTAACTGAATGTATTAAAATTTTTACAAACACTGACCACTTCACCCGGTGAATGGAATCTGTTACATGTTTGCAGGACACAGTCATAGCAGGAAAGAGTAACTCTCATTGGACTGGATTTCCTCCTTGTTTGCCTTAATGCTGTAACTCATCCCAGCACTGAGCTGGAAGACAATTTTTTGCCCAAGAGGCTCAAATCTTGCTGTTTTACAGCAAAATTATAAGAGGTCAGAACTGGCTCAGCAAAATTATAAGAGGTCAGAACTGGCTCAGACTGCAGTAACTCATAAGCCTTCAGGAGACAAAATGTGCTTAGATTGCTAATGCAGCACAAAAAACCCTTGCGGAAGACTCACCCCAAGCTGACTCCCATTTTCTATTCAAGGCCTTTTCTTGGTGTCCTGTTTTCTAGCTAAGGCTGAACATCTGGTGCCATTAAGAAGTTTGCGTGTAGCTTCTGTTGGCTGCAGTTTGCAAAGTTTATTGAACTTTTGTGGACCTCCCGAGTAACCACTTGGGAGACGTTCCATGGTATGACAGGGCAGGGATTCACTAGAGACAATCACACCCTGATTTGGGACAAAGTGAAAAAGAAACCCATGTTTATGCAGATCAGTCCCAAAACTGTAAACCCATAAATTCAATTATTTTCATCAGTGACAACCCATCCTGTGATGCATCAATAGAGCAGAGGAGCTTTCACTGAGTAGTATCTAAGAATATATGAGGTGATCTTCTAACCTATGGGGACAAGGCAGTAGGTAAAAATCAATTCATAATTTGTTGCCAATATCATGATAGACTCATTGGAAATAAAATAAGTGTTTGTAATTCTGGAAAAATTGGTGTAAAGCTTATTAAATCATTCAGTCCAAATCTGCTGCTGTGTTGGGTTTCTTCTGAGAGTCTGAGCAAGTGTGGCAAAGCCAGGGACTGCCTCTGTTCCCTGTGGATATCTGGCCAGTTTCATGAGACCCAGTAAACAGTGGCCAGTTTCATGAGACCCAGTAAACAGGGCAGGATTCTTTTCATTCATAGAGTCAATGAATAGTTTGAGTTGGAAGGGACATTTGTGTTGATTTGGCACAGCCTGGTCTTTTGGTAGCAGGGGAGGGTCACAGAAGTGGCTTCTGTGAGAACCTGCTAGAAGCTTCCACCATGTCTGACAGAGCGAATCTCTGATGGCTCTGAAGATGGACATGCTGCTAGCCCAATTAGAGAGGCTGGTAATCCCTCTGCAATGACATATTTAAGAAAATCAAAGCAGCGCATGTGTAGCTTTCTTCCAGGCTGGCAAGACACCGCCACCAGGGCCATCCTGGCAGCATGAGGTGATGTGCCGCAGCTGCCGCCATCTTGGCACGGCCCACAGAAAACTTTGCCTGCCTGGCCACTCCTAGAGAGCCGTGCCAAAGACAGAAGGGCAGGGGCGGCAGCCACAGCTTCTCCTTCCCTGCCCCACATGAAGAGAGGCATTAAATAGCACCAGTGTCACAGCAGCCATCATTGCCCCCTCAGTGGTGGCAGGGCTGCGTGGCTGGCGGCAAAAGTATGACGAGCAGCTCCTGGCAAGGAACCTAGACAAGATCTACCTCTCAGCACTGTGGGATCCTGCAGGAATATTTTAAGTGGAGGAAACTTTTGGAAGTGGTACCTATGCCAAACAGCTTTTCTTCTAGTCAGAGAAGAGGAGGAGGCGAGGACACCTGAGGGGAAACAACATGGCGTCACCAAGATCAGTGGAAAAAGGGGAGGAGATGCTCCAAATGCTGGAGCCGAGATTCCTCTGCAAGCCATGGTGAGGACCATGGTGAAGCAGGCTGTCCCCCTGCAGACCATGAGGTGTCGCAGTTTGTTTGAGGGACCCCAGGGGGCCCCCTAAGCTGTATGTTCGCTGGTAGCAGCAGACAGGCAAGGAGTCTCCACTCAGCTTCTGAGGGTGCTAATTAGATGAGGGTTTATTGGGGGTCCCACCCCCGGGAGCAGCATGGTTTCTGAGGGAGAAGGGGGAAAAGGGGGAGGAGTGGGAGGGCCTAGGGAGCAAAGGGCCAAGAGAACATCTCATCTCCCCCACGCAGCTTAACAGGGAGATTCAAAGTGGGTGCAGAATAAGACTTGGGCCAATGGGATTACAGATACATGATACTTCAGGGGAGGATCACAGGCTTGGAATGCACCGTACATTTTCGACGGGTGAGACAGAGCAAATCATTTAACTAAAATGTAAACACCACAATGAGGTCTGCGGGAGATGCAGAGATCCGCTCGCAGCCCATGGCAGAAGTAGTAATACTGGAGTGGGTGTATACTGGAGAAAGGTGTGATCAAGTGGGAGACTCAAATGGAGACAGAGTGCCCCTGCTTCCAGAGATCAAGAAAGAGGACCCTTGCTTCCAAACTAGAGCAGCCTGTCCTTAGAGGGCTCCATTCCATGGACAAGTGACCCACGCCACAGCAGTTTTGGAAAGACCAGTGGGAAAGACTGACCTTGCAGCAGTTTTGGCAGGAATGCTGCTCCAGAGATTGGAACCACACTGGAGAAGTTAACAGAGAACTGTCTCCTGTGGGAGGGACCCAATGGCATAGTAGAAGAAAGACTTTCCCTGAGCAGATCTTGGGTGATGAACTGATAAAAACCCCCCCACTCAATCTCCCTGCACTGTCAGTGGGAAGTAGGGAGGGGCTGGGGGAAAAAGAGGTATTTTAAAAGCTTATTTTACTTCTCATTTTTCTCTTCTGACTCTGTTAATAATAAATTCACTTTATACCTTTAAATTTTAGCCTGTTTGGCCCTTAGAGTGTTTTCTCCCAGTCCTCATCTCAACTTGTTAGCAAGCAAGACATGGTTATGGGTGTGACAGAGACTGGACTGAGGACAAGGACTGCCTCTGCTGTGTTCCAAAACCACTAAGAAACCACATTATGATGCCTTGGTGATCTGGGTGTGCCCATGTAAATACAGTTTCTCTTTTGAAGGTAAAATACAAACATTCATAATATTTAGTGTTTTACAGTTAAAGTGAAAAATATATTAAGCTTATAAATGCCTATTACCTTAATTGCACAGGCTTTATAAGGAAGACAAATAAAACAGCTCCTGAAAACATATTGACTTATGTTTCCTTATTATATTGAAATATTGAGCACAATAAACCACTACTGATTGATGATGAAAGCTGTATAAACAGTTCAGAGTCAAAGTAAATGGTACTTCTTTACAACCTAGTTCATAAAAAATTAATCTACACAGGATCATAACCTAATCTTTGCCAACTGCATACTCATCTGCTGTTGAGAGTTTTTTGCAATTGCAGGGCTCTTGCTAGACAATGGCCATATTCAGCTGATGCACAATCCAGCCTGCTTGTACTAATGGACAATGGACACGTTCACAAACAATGAATAATGGACATATTCAGAAATAGGGTCGGTATATCCTTGAAAGAGATACAAGAAGAAGAGTCATCAGGATTCAGCAAGTTTGTCAGCAAGCTTGGGAAAGTAAGAAAAAAGTGAGTCATGGGTGGGCCAAGTGACCACAGCAAGATGCGTGAAAAATTAGGTGATCCAATCAGCATTCTAATTTAGGCGCATGAACAGCTAGGATTAACCAATCTTGTATTAGCTAGAGACACGTGGAGAGTAGAGATTTATTATAAATATAGTCTTTTTTGGGATAAAAAATTTGGCCTCACTGGATCATATTGGTATGGTGTGATGTCCCTGAACCTCCACACCTCATAATCCACATAATCTAAAAAAACAGCAACAAAAAAACCAAAGGAAAATCAACAATACCCCTTAGAACCTCCAAAATCACTTGAGAAGATTCCATTCACAGACAGATATCATATTGCTCCAGGTGAAAGCATGAAGAACACAAGACAGACTTGACCCACTGTGTCCCTAAGGGAGAATTACCTCACTTGCCCCTCAGCAGGGCACTCCCCACCAGGGTTATGCTCTCTTGCATGACAAGAACTATCTCTGAGGGCAATCACAAAAGTGAGAAAGGCAGGTAATTACACCTGTTCAGGGAGACTTTGGGATGGGAATGGCAATATACTGCTGTAAACATATTCTCCACAGAGCTGGCCTGCCTACCTGCCTGTTGAGGTTCTGTTCCATGCCAACTCTCCTCCCTAGTCAGGTAGAAAGAGTTGGTTGCTTTTCAGTTTACTGGGTTTGTTTTAAACTCATCCCATACACAATAATGCATGAGACAGCAAAGGGATTTGAAATAGTTCCTGGCAATTTGCCTCTCCCTAAAATCTTGCTTTTATCATCCTGTAAGCTTAAAATGACCCAGAGGAATCTGGACAGACAAATTTTTGTTTTACTAGTAGAATATCCTTTAGAAGACATTATTCTTCTAAATAGACTTTATGGAAGTGGCAGACAGGCCCATGAACTGTGAGGGGGGGGTCTGCTGCAGATTCAAATAAATCTGCACACATTAATTGAAACCTCTTTACCTAAAACTGCCCACACACTCTAGATGGTCTAAGGATCCACTTACATGAGAGATGATTGTCTAAGTGTCTTTAACTGTTAATGGAGGTCTGCTCAACAATGGCAATGGAGCACTGTGTTGGTGCATTCCCCTCTCTTTCTCAGGCTGCACTGCCAGCTGAAAAATGCTCATTAGGCCTCAGCCTTGACGAACAGCACCTGGGCTCAGCTCCTCTTGAGCTTATCAGAAACACTGTCTGTTCCTAGGAACTACTGCTGTCTAACTAGCTCCAGGGTTTTTTCATGAGAAGCCTTGGAAACTATTTTCCTTGTCTCCATAGCATCCTATCCCTGTTCTCACACTTTCAGAGAAAGTCTGCTGACCTGTAGTGTGGCCAGGCTGGAACAAAGC